AAGTCGTCTTCCTTGAGCACGGGTGAACACGGGTGTGCACAGGTGCTCCAGCCTTATCGTCTGATACCTGAAGCGTGAGAATTATAGTTGTTCACCGCATTTCGACACCTTTTACCAAGACTATGGGCACGGATAGCGTCAGATGATTGCCACGTTTAAAACGTTAAGTGTTTCATTAAAAATTGACATCACCATTTCCTTGCAAGCCATCGACCCCAGCACAAAGCGTCACAAATAACCTCTTAAAGTCACTTCTCGTTTGGATTGAAAATCATTGTCAGTATATTTGTCACAAGTCTGGTGTCAGCAGCGTCGGCTTTCTATCCAGCGGCAAGGTAGGCCAGATTAGCGATTACTTATTCCACGGGTGGTGGTGTGGGGTGGGGTGGGATGGTGTGGTGTAGGGTGACAGGGTAATATGATGACGTGCTTTTACACGTCACCTTTTTAGTCACCAATATCCCAGCTGTATCAAAGTGGTGTGTAGTCACTAACATCCCAGCTGTATCAAAGTGGTGTGTAGTCACCAACATCCCAGCTGTATCAAGGTAGTGTGTAGTCACCAACATCCCAGCTGTATCAAGGTGGTGTGTAGTCACCAACATCCCAGCTGTATCAAGGTGGTGTGTAGTCACTAACATCCCAGCTGTATCAAAGTGGTGTGTAGTCACTAACATCCCAGCTGTATCAAGGTGGTGTGTAGTCACCAACATCCCAGCTGTATCAAGGTAGTGTGTAGTCACTAACATCCCAGCTGTATCAAGGTGGTGTGTAGTCACCAACATCCCAGCTGTATCAAGGTAGTGTGAAGTCACCAACATCCCAGCTGTACCAAGGTGGTGTGTAGTCACCGACATCCCAGCTGTATCAAGGTGGTGTGTAGTCACCAACATCCCAGCTGTATCAAGGTAGTGTGAAGTCACCAACATCCCAGCTGTATCAAGGTGGTGTGTAGTCACCGACATCCCAGCTGTATCAAGGTGGTGTGTAGTCACCAACATCCCAGCTGTATCAAGGTGGTGTGTTGTCACCAACATCCCAGCTGTATCAAGGTGGTGTGTACTCACCAACTTCCCAGCTGTTCCAAGGTGATGTGTAGTCACCAACATCCCAGCTGTGTCAAGGTGGTATGTAGTCATCAACATCCCAGCTGTATCAAGGTGGTGTGTAGTCACCAACATCCCAGCTGTATCAAGGTGGTGTGTACCCACCACCATCCCAGCTGTATCAAGGTGGTGTGTAGTCACCAACATCCCAGCTGTGTCAAGGTGGTGTGTAGTCACCAACATCCCAGCTGTATCAAGGTGATGTGTAGTCACCAACATCCCAGCTGTATCAAGGTAGTGTGTACCCACCAACATCCTAGCTGTATCAAGGTCGTGTGTAGTCACCAACATCCCAGCTGTATCAAAGTAGACACCAACATTCTTTTCTCCTTATTTCAAGTTTATTTCAACAAAATCGTTTCAAAGAGAAAAAATAATCGAAATAACGAGAAAATAATCGAAATAGCTAAAAGATTATGGAAGGAACGAGAAAAAAATCGCCTTTTTTTAGATAAACTTGTTTGTTAGATAAATTTTCGAAGTAAGGAGGAAAAACTTATTTCGAGAAAACAATGGAAATAACTAGAAATAATCAAAGTAACGAGAAAGAACTCGAATTGTAGAGAAAATATTTTAAAAACCGAGACATTTCGATTAAAAAACCATTAATGATACCAAAGTTGCACTATTAGGCTTTCTTTATCATTTCGTAGATAGTTTCAATAAAAAACACTTAGATAACTATTTCATTATTTTTCAAATTGGATGTACAAACAAGACTTGGAAAGAGAGCATGTGTTTTACATGTCCAAGATCCCCTGGGGATGCCAAACCCCTTCAACGTTTCACTCTAGAGTCTCATTTGCTCACCCATAAGTTCAAAATATTCAAAAAACAAATCTCAAAAGCATATGTCATAATTCACTCTTCAAAAGCAGAATGCGACTCATATTGTATAACACCAAATACGATTTAATTCGTGTCCCGCGTACCACACGGCTGTGTTGCGAATACCCCCTGTGTAGACCCCTGAATCCGAATGTTCTAGAAACATTCTGTTGAACAAAAAGAACATAATGTATCGTGGGAGGAGTAGTAGAAGTAAATTGTTTATTAAAGTGTCGCACGCACAACATGGAAAAAATAAAAGTGATACACATAAGACATAAAAAAGTGCATGATATTTTTTCCAGACAGACATAAACTTTTAAGACAATATACAATAGAAATAAAATATGTTTTTGTTGTTGTTTAACGCCGTACTCACATAATTACAGCTATATGACGGCGGTCTGTATATAATCGAGTCATGACCAGACAATCCAGTGATGGACATCATGAGCAACGACCCTCGCGATTGGGATACGATGACATGCATCAACCAAGTCAGCGATCCTGGCATCCCGATCCCGTTTGTTGCCTCTTACGACAATCATAGTCGCTTTTTACGGAAAGCATGGGTTGCTTAAGACCTATTTTACCCCGGATCTTCACGGGTTTCGTATGTATGGAATGCTCGGTTACGTCCAGCCTATTTTGCTGTTCCAAATAACAAGTGCAAGTACAACTTCCCAAGATCAGTCGAAATGAACACATTTGAACTACCGCGCATCACCATAGCTAAATTCTTAAGTCGCTTTCACTTGCAGAGAAGTAGGTGAGGTGAGGTGAAATGGGGTTTAACGTCGCGTCCAAGATTATTGCACTTATATATCGACGTTGCAGAGAAGTAAACACGCCTCATCACATTAACTTATGGTGTTGTACATTAATTAAGTAGCATGTGACTAGTCATGTTTGATTGTGTATATCTGATATCGTTCTTTTTGGTGCTATTAAAGACGTTGTGAATCTGTTTTCTTATGTGTCGAACAATCGGCTTCGTCGATTTTGTCCCGTTCCTTCGATGTAGACACAATGGTGTTCAACTGTAATTGTTACATGACGTTGTATGTGATTTTGACATCTGTTTTGCATTGTTTGTCAGGTGATGGCGAAGATGGATGTCATCATTGTCTGGGCAGCTGTTATTGGTAAATATATTTCAATTGAACTCTGTTCTCACCTGGGGTACGGGTGCCCCAGTCGTCTAAGGCGCCGCGATTCGCTGTGCAGAGTTGCGTCCCTTGGACACGCCAGAAACCTATGATTGTTCGAATCCGGGTTCGCCCCAATTATATTTCTAGGTTTGTCACCACCATACTCGTGATCTTGGGTTTCACCGAAGTGGTAAACGTCTGAGACCTGCATCACTTGGGGCTTTCCTCCCACATTAAGCTGACACGCCGCGATATAACTTGAATAATGTTAAAAGCTGCGTTAAACCCAACTCACTCACTGTTCTCAACTTGTATTGTTTTCTTAAATACCGTGCCCTATAACAATATATCACTGGTCACAGTAACATTAAACACACACCGTGCATGAAAACATCCAACATTATCGACTGAGCGATTGTTTGTTTGTTTGTTTGTTATCTAACGCCGCACTCAGCAATATTCCAGCTATATGACGGTGGTCTGTAAATAATCGAGTATGGACGATACAATCCAGTGACTGACGTTATGAGCATCGATCTACGCAATTGGGATACGATGACATGCATCAACCAAGTCAGTGAGCCTGACCACCCGATCCCGTTAGTCGCAACATGCATACTCGCCTCTTACGGTAAGCGTGGGTTGCTGAAGATCTATTCTCTACCCGGATCTTCACGGGTAGATTGAGGGGTTGAATTATGTCTCCTTAGCCAGAGAACTTGAGCAATAGATTTACAGCTAATACCACACAACCATTTAGTTGAAAGGTATTCAAAACAGCCTTTGTACATAGAATAGCATTTTTTGCTGCAGTCTCATTGGGTACAACAACATTGTTAAATATGACAGGATCCCTGAAGTATGAACTTCATGTTGTTTTTAATTGAATAATAATTATTTCAATAAATAACACCATGGCGAAATATTCTTTGAGTCTGCGCCAGTACAGTTAATTTGTTTGGTAATAATATCGCTGAATTAATAACATAAAATCATCCGAGAGGTATAGTTTCAATATATGTTTCCTTCCATTATATTTAATACTAACTGTTATATTGGAGGCGCTCTGCGGTACACAATCTGGATTTTGTTTCTCGCAAATGACATATGTATTATTAATTCACAATCATACTTTTATAGAACGTCTGTCCGGTAAGCGAAAGGTGGGTGGTTCGGTTTCCGGCCGCGTTGTTACCCTCCTGTGCGCTCGGCATTAAGGGGCTAAAACAAGTCGTCTCGGGGTGGGTATGATGTGCCTGAGGGGTATCCATTTTAAGCTGCGGCATGGTATCCCAGTGGGGTAGCCCTATAACCCGACATAAGTCGGGACTAGCTAGTACAAGTAGCCACACATACACAGCCACATAGACACACACAGACACACAGACAGACACAGAGACAGACACACACACATACACACACACACACACACACACACAGACACACACACACACAGACACACACAGAGACAGACACACACACAGACAGACAAACAGACAGACACACACAGACACACACACACAGACACACACACACAGACAGACACACACACACACAGACAGACACACACACACAGACAGACACACACACAGACAGGCAGACACACACACAGACAGACAGACAGACACACACAGACAGACACACAGACACACACAGACAGACACACACACACACACACACAGACAGACAGACACACACAGACAGACAGACAGACAGACAGACACACACACAGACACACACACACACACACACACACACACACACACACACACACACACACACACACACACACACACACACACACACACACGTGAATGCATGTCGCGATATAAGTGCTATTGTCCTGAACGAAACAATAACCTCATTTCACTTCACTTTGAGAAACTTCATTTCCTTTAACTTTGCAGGATGGGCAATGTCAGCGGAAAACAACAACGGGAAGGATTTTGTCGCTGCTGTGTTTTTACAAGAGAGTGTTTGTTATGCATCGTTACACTTCACGGGAAATGAAGGAACAACCGTACATATAGAAGCTTTCGATTTCTCGAACACAACTACCATTGGCAAAGACTTGTGGGCTAAACAGGATCTGATTTCTGAAATATGCTTTGACGTGAAGAGTGAAGCAACAGCCACGAAAGGGATTAGAGTAACGGCTAGTGATGATATATCGGTGGCTGCTATGACTACAGAACATCGACACAAAAGCGAATCGTTCCTTGTTCTACCTACGAGTCAACTATCAATAGAGTACTATGCAGTTTCTGCCATTGGGAATTGCGCGTATTCAAAACTCATGATAATAGCCACTGCCACCAGCACCGAGATCACACTAACGTTGAGAGTATTCAGTGGCAAATGCACCGACTCTGGCCATGAGGACGGCAAAACGATCAAAGTGAAACTGGACAAGATGGAAGTCTTCGGTCTGTATTGCAATAAGGACATTACTGGCACTCACATAATAAGTTCCAAACCTGTAGCTGTGGTCTCTGGTTGTCATAGCACTAGAACATCACGAAACGGGGCATTTGACCCAGTTGCAGATATGCTCATCCCAGTTCAACTGTACGGGACCAACTACATCCTGTACAATATCAATACAGTGCTCCCAGTTGTCTATCGGGTAGTAGCAGCTGCTGACAATACCGATATTGTTCTCGCAGGTCAAGCTGACCACGTTCTTCAAGAAGGGGGATTTATCGATATACGTACCACTGGTGCAGACTGCCTGACTGCAAGCAGTCCTGTTCTTGTTGTTGCATTCACTGAGCAGACCTCGAAATTTGGGGATCCTCTCATGGCAGTTGTCCAGTCGACAGATCATTTTATGAGTTCATACTTAGTGTATGCTCAAGCGAACCCAATTACCGAACGTACGAAGGCCTTGATAGGACTAGTCAGTTCTCTCCCAAATATTGACGCCATTGTCTCAGGGGCTGAAATGACTGAAGTGGCTAAACATGCTGCATGTGGATTTTCTATCGGTACATTTGAACTCAGTTCTGACTCTGTGGTAAATCTACAATCCTCAAAGCCTTTCGGACTGCTGTACATCGGAGTTGGGACATACAATGGAATGGGATATTCTGGTGGCTTCAAAAACGGTAAATAGAGTTTATTAATCCAATATCAAATCACAACATAAATATCTACAGTTAACTACTCTATTAATCCATGTTGAGAATTTGAGAATTTATTTCACAAGGGCGTATTTGCGAAAAGACCAACCATTTGAAATGACTAAATAATACAAATAGCTGGTGGTGTAGTTGTAGCTGAAAAAATCTAATCTCGATACAAAATCCCAGTAACGCCCCCCCCCCCCCCCCCCTCCCAACACACACACACACACACACACACACACACACACACACACACACACACAACAGTGCACCATATACAGCAACTTCGACTACCTATGTTTCCGCAATCTCTTTCACAACATCACCAACATCGTCCCTTGCCGCCGTTACAAGTCTACCTACTACACCAGCATCGAGTGTAACGTCAGCCACCATGTCCATGGCCAACTCCCTGGCTAAAAGCCCCAAACCAGGTGAGACCGCCTCCGTGGTCTTGTGGTAGAGCGTCCGCCCGGAGAGCGGAAGGTCCAGGGTTCGATCCCGGGCCGCGTCATACAAAAAGACGTTAAAAGATTGTACTTGTTGTTACCCTGTCTGGCGCTCGGCATTAAGGCATCAGTCCGGACTAGTACAAGCAGCCACACACACACATACACGTGCATGCACGTCGCTATATAAGTGCAATAATCTTGGACGCGACGTTAAACCCAATTTCACCTCACCTCACCTAAACCAGGTTCTACGACTACAACCACTACAATATCTCCATCAACGAAATCTACCAGCACAACGTCGGACGCAGGTTCTGTCCTTATTTCTTTGTCATCAGCATCTACCCCACCTTCTGATACAACTGCTACCACGACTGCATGGTCATCTACCCAACGTAGCACGACGCCTACCTCTGCCCCAACGACTGTCAATGTAGTCTCTACCAATGCTGCTTCAACAGATTCTGCCACAATCGCACTTCTTACCGCAGTCACCCAACCTGCATTATCTGTCATTACAGCTCCAGCTACGACCACTACGACCACTACTACCACTTCTACAACCACCACAACTACAACTCCGACGGTGGCCACGGTTCAGTTGGACCACAACGGACAACCAGTAAGAACAGTGAAAGAAATATGCACATGCTTTTGTAAATCTAAAGGTCGCCTAGAGGCAGCGACAACCAAAGCAATATCTGAGCAGAAAACAAAACTCAAAAAGAAGTTGCAAGTTAAAACAGCAAATCTCACCAGCGCTATTACCAAGAAAACCAGTGCAACAGACAGTAGAATGTCATCTACAAGTATCGGCTATGCCACAATGTTGGTCGTCATGTTGCCAATGATCCTACTTATGTTGTCAGACGTTCTCCAGATGACATCTGCCGTCATTAAAATATGTAAACAGAAGACTGGCTAGACTAGGATGATAATGATTAAATTTAAAGATCCACTCCGAAGTCAGGAAGCATATGATTGCTAATATCATGTCATACACGATAAGCGTGGCCAGTGTTAACTTAACTATATGTACAAACATAGACGCGATGCATACAGTCAGGCAAAAGCAACATGTTTGCGCCATGTGGTCATGATTTTCAGTGATCCAATCATATTAATTTCCATTCTATTTTGTTTTAGTAGATATAATTTGATACTGATACTTGCCTGGTATGGCGTTTTGAATATATTTGACTTATCATTCTACATAATACTATAGACCATCCTCTGCACCATCTACATGATACTATAGAACAACTTCTGCATCATTCACAGAACACTGTAGGCTACCCTCTGCATCATTCACATGACACTGTAGGCCATCCTCTGCATCATTCACATGACACTGTAGGCCATCCTCTGCATCATTTACATGACACTGGAGGCCATCCTCTGCATCATTCACATGACACTGAAGGCCATCCTCTGCATCATTCACATGACACTGTAGGCCATCCTCTGCATCATTCACATGACACTGTAGGCCATCCTCTGCATCATTCACACAACACTGTAGGCCATCCTCTGCATCATTCACATGACACTGTAGGGCATCCTCTGCATCATTCACATGACACTGTAGGCCATCCTCTGCATCATTCACATGACACTGTAGGCCATCCTCTGCATCATTCACATGACACTGTAGGCCATCCTCTGCATCATTCACATGACACTGAAGGCCATCCTCTGCATCATTCACATGACACTGGAGGCCATCCTCTGCATCATTCACATGACACTGTAGGCCATCCTCTGCATCATTCACAGAACACTGTAGGCCATCCTCTGCATCATTCACATGACACTGTAGGCCATCCTCTGCATCATTCACATGACACTGAAGGCCATCCTCTGCATCATTCACATGACACTGTAGGCCACCTCTGCATCATTCACATGACACTGTAGGCCATCCTCTGCATCATTCACATGACACTGTAGGCCACCCTCTGCATCATTCACATGACACTGTAGGCCATCCTCTGCATCATTCACATGACACTGAAGGCCATCCTCTGCATCATTCACATGACACTGTAGGCCATCCTCTGCATCATCTATATGAAGCTTTAGGCCATCCTCTGCATCATTCACATGACACTGTAGGCCACCCTCTGCATCATTCACATGACACTGTAGGCCACCCTCTGCATCATTCACATGACACTGTAGGCCACCTCTGCATCATTCACATGCCACTGTAGGCCACCCTCTGCGTCATTCACATGACACTGTAGGCCATCCTCTGCATCATTCACATGACACTGTAGGCCATCCTCTGCATCATTCACATGACACTGTAGGCCATCCTCTGCGTCATTCACATGACACTGTAGGCCATCCTCTGCATCATTCACATGACACTGTAGGCCATCCTCTGCATCATCTATATGAAGCTTTAGGCCATCATCTGCATCATTCACATGACACTGTAGGCCATCCTCTGCATCATTCACATGACACTGTAGGCCATCCTCTGCATCATCTATATGAAGCTTTAGGCCATCCTCTGCATCATTCACAGGACACTGTAGGCCATCCTCTGCATCATTCACATGACTCTGTAGGCCACCCTCTGCATCATTCACATGACACTGTAGGCCATCCTCTGCATCATTCACATGACACTGTAGGCCATCCTCTGCATCATCTATATGAAGCTTTAGGCCATCCTCTGCACCTTCAACATGTCACTATAGGTCATCCTCTGCATCATACACTTACACCTGTTCACGTCATCACCCTCTGCAACAATGTCAACTACAAACCATGCACAGTAAAATCATCAAATGTTGACAGCTGTCTTGAATACTTTATTGCACCATGTGAGACTGCACCATACTGACGAGTAACACACTAGATATGTCACGTTGTGAACAACTTTTCACACGGAGAATTTTGCTCAACGCCTATTGTCGCATTATCTGCAAAACCTATTTAGAATCATTCTATTTTTATATACACATATTTAAATCTTAACATATGTTTTTAACAAAGCTGTATTCAAAATGTTTCTTAGATCAGTTGTGTAACACAAGCTCTGAATAAAACTGATTCTGAACCATCACTGAGCATGGAGCAAGAGACAGTTAGTCGTGTTTCGGACTGAAACATCGGTTATGGTCACCGCCAGAGCGAAAGGAGGTCTGCAAAAAGGTATGTTCTGATAAGTTTTCGATCTCCAATAACTTGATTGGGCAGGGTATAGATCAAACTTTGTTTGTTTGTTTACGGAATTCACCACCATGACCCAGTGGGCCGAGGAGTCACAATGCTTTGTATTGCTTCACTGCCCAAATCCGATGTTTATTCACGGAGTTCACCACCATGAATCAGTGGGCCAAGAAGTCACAATGCTTTGTATTGCTTCACTGCCAAAATCTGATGTTTATTCACGGAGTTCACCACCATGAACCAGTGGGCCAAGAAGTCACAATGCTTTGTATTGCTTCACTGCCAAAATCCGATGTTTATTCACGGAGTTCACCACCATGAACCAGTGGGCCAAGAAGTCACAATGCTTTGTATTGCTTCACTGCCAAAATCCGATGTTTATTCACGGAGTTCACCACCATGAACCAGTGGGCAAAGAAGTCACAATGCTTTGTATTGCTTCACTGCCAGGATCCGATGTTTATTCACGGAGTTCACCACCATGAACCAGTGGGCCAAGAAGTCACAATGCTTTGTATTGCTTCACTGCCAGGATCCGTTGTATATTCACGGAGTTCACCACCTTGAATCAGTGGGCCAAGAAGTCACAATGCTTTGTATTGCTTCACTGCCAATATCTGATGTTTATTCACGGAGTTCACCACCATGAACCAGTGGGCCAAGAAGTCACAATGCTTTGTATTGCTTCACTGCCAATATCCGATGTTTATTAACGGAGTTCACCACCATGAACCAGTGGGCCAAGAAGTCACAATGCTTTGTATTGCTTCACTGCCAAAATCCGATGTTTATTCACGGAGTTCACCACCATGAACCAGTGGGCCAAGAAGTCACAATGCTTTGTATTGCTTCACTGCCAGGATCCGTTGTATATTCACGGAGTTCACCACCTTGAATCAGTGGGCCAAGAAGTCACAATGCTTTGTATTGCTTCACTGCCAATATCTGATGTTTATTCACGGAGTTCACCACCATGAACCAGTGGGCCAAGAAGTCACAATGCTTTGTATTGCTTCACTGCCAGGATCCGTTGTATATTCACGGAGTTCACCACCTTGAATCAGTGGGCCAAGAAGTCACAATGTTTTGTATTGCTTCACTGCCAGGATCCGTTGTATATTCACGGAGTTCACCACCATGAATCAGTGGGCCAAGAAGTCACAATGTTTTGTATTGCTTCACTGCCAGGATCCGTTTCATAATTAAAACCTCAGAGGGTTTGTGGTTTGTCAGCACAGTATATGTGCTTGGCCTCGTGTGTCTATACTTATTCGTTGTGATGTCACAACGTGTGAATGTGAAAGTTTATTTTATATTCGAAATGTCATTGGACCATGCACTTTCATCTCATTTGAATACAGTCTGAATGCGATAGACTGTAACGGATACCATGAATAAGATAGTATGATATGTTAGAGCAACAATGCAATGCAATTTAGCCAAAGCCTCCTCTATGTATTTACAGTGAGTGAGTGTTGGTGTATGCTGCTTTTAGCAATATTCCAGTTATATCACGACTGGGAACACCAGAAATTGGCTTCACACATTGAATCTAGGTGGGGAATCGAACGTGTGACGAGCATACACTTGAAGCACTAGGCTACCCTACTGCCCTAACATAGGGCAGACAGACAAGCCAAAGGAATAGAAACACTGCGAACACATACACAGTAAGGTAGTCGGGACCAGAGAACAGGTTCGAGATATTGGTTTATTCAAGATAACGGTGTTTGAGATAATGAGGATAACTCCTCTTCACACAGAGAATAGTGATCATCTCAGTAAATGTTGAAAGTGAAAAAATCACAAATCACTGAGCATCTGAATCTAAAGAGTTGATTTCACAAAAATAATCATATATTTCTGGAATACTTCATCCCATCTAATGATGACTTGCCAACGAGTGAAATGATAAACTGCTGATTTTGTACCTGGGTGTGTAAAATCACATCATGCATATTTTGACTGTGTAAAAGAGTTACAGTAACATAGAGAATCTAAAAATATGCAATATTGTCTAAGAATCTTCCAACATTTTACGACAATGAATTTGTGTAAAAGTTCTGTCCTCCACCTTAAAAAAGTGCTTGGTATACAGTTACGTGATGGCAGCAGCTATTCCCTTGCAACCATCAAACCTTTCCTTCTTCATGAACACACAACCTCAAATCAAATATGTGAACTGTCAGCATTGTTGTATTACAGACTGGGTTTGTTTGTTTGTTTATTTGTTGTTTAACGCTGCACTCAGGAATATTCCAGGTATATGACGGCAGTCTGTAAATAATCGAGTCTTGGCCAGACAATCCAGTGATTGACATCATGAGCATCGATCCTTGCAATTGGGACAGAATGACATGGATCAGCCAAGTCAGTGAGCCTGACCACCCAATCCCATTAGTCGCCTCTTACATGCAAGTCTCTTTTTACAGCAAGCACGGGTTGCTGAAGACCTATTCTAACCCGGAACTTCATGAGTCTACAGACTGGGAGTGAGTGAGTTGGGTTTAAAGCCGCTTTTAACAATATTCCAGTTATATCACGCCGTGTCAGCTTAATGTGGGAGGAAAGCCCAAAGTGATGCAGGTCTCAGACGTTTACCACTTCGGTGAAACCCACGAGCACGGGTATGGTGCTGACAAACCTAGAAACATAATCGGGGCGAACAGAGATTCGAACCCACAATCATAGGTTTCTGGTGTGCCCAAGGGACGCAACTCTGCACAGCAAATCGCAGCGCCTTAGACGACTTGGCAACCCGTGCCCCCTACAGACTGGGAATGGTGAGCTACAGTGCCATGGTGCCATCCATAATCTGCTATTTTCTGTAGGATATTTGAACCTAATGATGCATAATACCTTATATAACACAACAAACTGCAGATATACATCAGAAACACAGATGTTTATTGCATCTTGCATACCAGTATGAGAACACAGAGCAGTCCTTAACACATTGTATACGTGTATATTGTGGCAACTGAAACAACTTGCAAGGTTGTATGTGATACGTTCAAGGATCAATGTAGTTGTTTTCCATGAACATGTGAGAGAATATAGAAATATGACATGAAATATTTCTGTCTGACAGAAAGGTATTCATGCACACAAGACATTAAATATTTGGAGGGAATGTGGCATATCTGCACTATATACATGTGTATACATATACAGTCAAACCTCATTATATCGAAGCTAGCGGGACCATGTTGTAACTTCAAGATATCCGGACATTCGAGATAACGAGGCATGAACATGTATATAGAAGGGCAGTTGGGACTGGAGAACAGGTTCGAGATATCGGTATATTCAAGATAATGGTGTTCAAGATAACGAGGTTTAACTGTATACACACACAGAGAATAGTGATCATCTCAGTAAATGTTGAAAGTGAAAATATCACAAAGCATCAGTATCTCAAGAGTTGATTTCTCAAAAATAATCATCCAGTATATTTCTGGAAAACTTTATCCCTTCTAAAAAGAGATAAGTGGGCATATCAAAAAGACAATTCGTGATACCCCCTTCGTATATAATGCTGACTTTCTTGGTGTAATTCACATATCATGATTGCGGAGTGAATAATGTGTATTTGTGATAAAAAAAAACAAATACTGATTTGCATAAAATAAAACACATGATCACTCCTATCACAGATAAATGTGATTATGAATATCACAGCAGAATGATTACAGCGAAGCATATGTACACATGAGAAGATGAGATCATATTTTGACATTAAAACCATGGGAGAAAACAACATGACATAATGTAACATTGTACCCAAATAAGTATAACCCTGTTTGGACAGATTATATATTTCTACAGAAAATAAATTTCAATCAAATTTAAGAATTACAAGTTAGATATACTTTGTCATCAAATAATAATTCATTTTATTTGTATTATTATTATGATTTTTAGTGTATTCTTGGAGGTAATTTTAAAGATAACAATTTCATTTTAGTAAAATGTCAATAAAAATTGTCAAGTATGTACATATGAGATTAATATGTAAATTGGTTCAAGAATGTTATTGGTTTCCGAGACACTCATTGAAACATAACTGGGTGATAGCAATAGTTTTTTGCTTTTGGAGGAAACAAAACTTCTGACTTTCAAGAGCACATGTATTAACATTTTCCATTCCACAAGCATGTTCAAAAGATATTGCCTGAGAACCAAATGCATCTGTTTTTACCATGACTCAGCCAGTGTACATACTTACAACTTTTTCTCAACATTAAATGAATGATTTCACAATTGAGACAATAATTCATTTTACGATTGTAAATTAACAATACTGATATAGACTTGAACGGCTTGTATCACTCATTGATAAATCACACAAGTCACAACAATGTAACGCAATGTATATGGCAACAAATATATGGTAACAATCATATAGAAACAAACCCGTTTTGTAAGCTCACATCACACACCATCAGATCAAACAGCTCATGTTAAATACACTCACTCACTCACAAGCAATTACTTAACATGGAGCATGAAGCAGCAATCACACTCAGCATTTCAACAGATAAAGATACAAACAAAGATATAGCACATGATTAAACACGATTTTGATATTGGAGGGGTTCATATTTAAACTAATTTATGATAATTAGAATAATGCATAGGAGTCATTCACATAATTGGTCCTTTTTTATGGTCAGTTGAATAATTCTCATAAAAATGATCATTTGGGTGGGAATTAAAAAAATCAAAAAGACATTTTTAATTCACACTGAAATCTCATAAATTAAGGTAGTTATTTAGGAAAGGAAGGATATGCCGCATTAATTAATGACAAATAAATAATAATATTTGCTAATTCATTGTATGTTCATTAGAATCATTTCTCAAATTTAGACTTATGAACGTAGATTTTAATGTGAAATAAATAAATACATTCTTTGTTTGATGGTACCACTTGTTTTGCAATGTGAAAAATGCAACATTGAACTCTTTGGGTAGATTATTTTCTAACAAAAGAATTTATGCAAAATTTTCAGAAATTACCATGATTGCCAGATTAGTTGTTATAGAAACATATTAAAGTTCATGTAAAAACAGACTTCAGTTAACGTAATCTGAACTTGTTCTGTGAATTTCACAGCAATGTTGATATATGACATATGCATTAGTTATTTCAAAGTAACAAAAATATTTGCACTCAAAACATTTTCAGTTCAAATATACTGAACAAATTAAGTTAGGGAACAAGACTATTTTAGGGGATATTTTCATGAAATTTTGCGTGTCTTCACAAGAAAAATATCCCCAGAAATAGTCACGATCCCTACTTTCTTTGTTCAGTATACATCAGATACAAAGGTTTTTCCTTTGAACAGTAAAGTGAGACAGTTTCGTTAAAGTTATGTTTAGGTGATATTGCAGATAACCTCCCAATACAGACAGTTTGATATGGTCTGCAGGATCAGTCAATGAAGAGTGAGTCGAATGGGTCGTCTTTGTTGTAGTGTAGAGATGGGGGGCTGGGCTGGGGAGTGTCCACCAGGTTGTAGGTTCGTAACATCTGGTACTCACTGGGGCCGCCACGATCAATTCTCACCGGTTTCAGCTTCTCATGGCGCAATCTAAACAGTGTGGTCAGAATCTCAGGTTAAAGAATACAATAAATGAGATCTTAACATCATCATCGTACATAACAGCAAAGAATATTTTGCCATACTGTGATGGCCTGTAAATAATCAAATCTGGGCCAGGCTAAGCAAGCCATTGGGTTACGATGTCACAAAATCAGCCAAATTACTACAGCCTTAACACATGATGCCGATGATACTACTCAAAAGAAGTTAAGGACCACCCTATTTATATAACTATAGTTAATCCAACAAGGATTGTGTGGTCCCTAACTTCTGATTACACTGACAGATTAAAAGAATAATGTGGTCCCTAACTTTGAGTAGTTTAAGTAAGCTATTTCAACAAGCATGGGCTACTGACAACTTATTCTAGCCAGTCAGGATTCTGTGACACAAAGTCAGCAAGGCAAGACATTGGCAATCCTCATTAGTTAGTTTGTATGAGATTTGCCATATGGTGGAGATAATACTGACACAATGGTAATCTTAACTCACTCACTCACTAATGACAAGTATGGGGTACTGGGCACATTTGTCCTCACAGAGATATGAACAATTGGTTAACATTTTGTTTTCATGGTTCATTCAAAGGAATGGTGTTCAATGATGCAGTCAGCAAAATTCCAGCAATAATACAGCAGTCTGTAAATAATGAAGCCTGTCCAGAGTCAACGGTTATGACAAAGTCTTGCATCACAACAGGACTCATTAAGGGACTGGACATTCTAGCATGTCTAGTTTCTTGCTATGCTACAACCTTTCTAACCACAATCAGGCCAAAACGTGAATAAAGATAATTCGGCCAAAATTCTGATCAATTATTTACATCACATGATCACACAGGTATTTATCTAAACCTGCTCAGGGGCTGATATTCAGCCCAATATCTGCAGCAAATGTCAGTAAAAATTCTCGAATAAGAAATAAAATGTCCCCAATTCATGCCATATATCGGTAGTTAGTCATAACCAAAGTTATGGCTTAGTAGAAGTGATTTGTAATCACTGTGGGAAGTTACTGATAAAAGATATTGGAATTGTGAAGTGAGAATGACAGAGGAGGATAGAGAATGAAGATATAATCGATGGCGACTCCTGGATACACTTGCCATTCTTATGAACATATTAAATGCTTGTTTGGCTCACCTTTTGCCTTTTCCCTTCTCAAATGGCTTTTCCTTGAGTTGTTCTGCGATTGTCTTGTCATCTACATAGAATGTGGACTTTCCGAACACAGGAGGTGGCGGAGATGGAGTCCGTCGAGGCTGAAACACAGTAGAGTACATTTATTTCAGGGAGAGAGTGATGTTTTACTCCACACTTACAATATATATTCCGAATGTAATGGAGAGAGAGAGAGAGAGAGAGAGAGAGAGAGAGAGAGAGAGAGAGAGAGAGAGAGAGAGAGAGAGAGAGAGAGATAAACACATTCTCATGAAATTCGGAATTGTACAATAGACTGTGCTAACAGCAGAAACTTATGATATTATGGAAATGGTTTTTGTCACTTCACTCATTGCTGGAGATCTGAACATGCGCTCACACCTTGATGACGTCATATATTTTAGAGAGGGAAGTGTCCAGTGAGATGTTCCCAATAGATCTAGCTGGGCAAGGCAGATAAATGTAGTGGCCGATCTTTGGTGTGATGACCCAACACTTTATCAACACTGCTACCCCACCAATTTGTACTGCTCCAGTAGCTAACCTTCTCATCATCAGATCCATATGTAGAGTCTTCATGTATGATCTGGTGGGCCGTCTGTTTCTCCCCTAGTAGTGGATGGGATGGCAGACTCATGGGGTCAATCAGAACATCGTATGGAACCATCGGGTGCTGGTAGGTTGCAGGGTTGTACAAGTCCCACGGCTCCGGTTGACCAAACGTTCCTGAACATAACATTGCGCTACTATATATGTATATGTTCAATACATTCAACATAATCATACTTCACACATTGTCCTTTTAAAATAGTAATACTTTACACATTGCACAATCAAAATAGTCATACTTCACACACTGCCCATTCAAAATAGTCATACTTCACACATTTCCCAGTCAAAATAGTCATACTTCACAAATTACCCAGTCAAAATAGTCATACTTCACAAATTACCCAGTCAAAATAGTCATACTTCACACATTTCCCAGTCAAAATAGTCATACGTCACACATTTCCCAGTCAAAATAGTCATACGTCACACATTGCCCAGTCAAAATAGTCATACTTCACACATTGCCCAGTCAAAATAGTCATACTTATAGTCATCCTTCACACAATGCCCAGTCAAAATAGTCATACTTATAGTCATCCTTCACACATTGTCCAGTCAAAATAGTCATACTTATAGTCATCCTTCACACATTGTCCAGTCAAAATAGTCATACTTATAGTCATCCTTCACACATTGCCCCGTCAAAATAGTCATACTTATAGTCATCCTTCACACATTGTCCAGTCAAAATAGTCATACTTATAGTCATCCTTCACACATTGTCCAGTCAAAATAGTCATACTTATAGTCATCCTTCACACATTGCCCATTCAAAATAGTCATACTTATAGTCATCCTTCACACATTGCCCATTCCAAATTAGGGAGATGCAAGAACTAGATGACAGTAGGGGACATGGTAGAATGCTGCAGGTATAAGGTGACACCAGGGCCTTGTTCCACAAAGCGATCGTAGAGCTACAACAGTCGTAAATCTATGTTGAAGTATGGGAGTTATGATCACCTTAGCGCTAAGATCGCTTAGTGGAACAGGGCCAAGATGTCAAAGGAGCGAGATACTGACCAACATAATGCCCCTCAGTGGTCCACATCCGCACAGTACAGTCCATTGAAGTAGACAACAGGATCTTGCGCTCTTCCATCAAGTCAAAGTCCGTGATACTCTCCACATGGCCTCGCCAGGTCTTAAACACTGTAATTCAAAAACTTGAATATGGAAAACTCAAAAATAATATTTTTCATTGGCACAAAGTGACAGTCAATGATACAATCCTCAATTGTTCCATCACTTTGAAGAATATAATACCCATAAATGCTTGATTTAAAATTTAGTGATTAGATTCAAAAAAGAAATATATATGCAAAATTATTTCTGTTGCTATCTCAACATATGCCAGCACTAACATACCAAACTTCAATGATTATTGATTATTGATGATTATTGATACTGTTTCAAATCCAGTAATCTTACTTTACCAAACCAGATTCTATTTCAATGAAAAAAAAAAAGGTTGTTAAATCCATAATTCAGTATTCGACTCACACTCAGGCGGTGCATCTGCAGGTGTGTCATGACAGTAGTTGTTGATGTCCCATGCATAGATGAAGCCCATGCTGTCACCGGTGAACAGTAAGGTGTTGGCCTTGTTGGTGATCATCGTACTGACCATGGCTCCCTTCATTCTAGACTGTGTAACACAAAGAAGAGTTTCATACATCGAGCATCAACATGGGCAAAGCGTCAGTCATGGTTCATATTTACTTAAAATTATTTTTATTCCACAATCTCTGCTACATGAAAGGTTTCTAACCTACTGAAACATACATGTTGGGGGGCAAATGAAACTAACTTCATGCTGGAAATATGGCTTCATAAAAAAAAGGCATATTGCTGCCTCTCATAAACCTACAACAACGTTTGCACAAAAGCATTTCAGGAATCTATCCCTACCCCTAGATCCACCCAGGAAGGTGAAGCTCACCCCAGGGAACTATGCCACGTGTCCACCCTCTCCCCAGATCCACCCATGTCAGTGACACTTACCCTAGGGAACTGTGCCACGTGTCCACCCACTCCCCAGATCCACCCATGTCAGTGACACTTACTGTGTCCACAAAATCCCTAGATCCACCAAAGAAAGTGAAACTTACCCCAGGGAACTGTGCCATGAGTTTGCCCCCCTGGAAGACATTCCAGATATGGATGTGGGCGCGAGGTCCGCTAGACACGAGTGACCCGGCATCTTTCTTGTAGGCCCTGGTCTGCAGAAACACCAGCTTGTTGATGCTCAAGTCCCCATCCACTAAACACAAGGGATACAAAACATAAAGTGAATGAGGAAGTAAAAGTTGTCTTTACACCAGTCAGCAATACTCCAGGCACATCAGTCAATCCTAAAGCCTGCACCAGGCAAACCAGTGACTGAAGTCATGAGCAAAACGGCTAAGACGACTTGCAATCAGACACATCACAGTCAGACAACCCAATCCCTATATCAGTTGTCTCTTACCATTATCATGAGCAGGCCTTCCAATCTGACGGAGTGAAATAAGGAAAAACTTGTCTATTACCATTCATAGTGTGTGAGGAATTTCACTATGCAAAGTAAAAACGAAAAAGATTGATCACAATGAAAGCTGTATTCCTCACAAACAAAGCCATTTGCAATGGATAAGTGTACTTCTTCTAGTGGAAGATAAAGCACCAGTAACTGAAACACTTTGTTTGTTTCCATGAAACAGTGCTTTTAATGGTGAATTGGCACAATTTCTTGAACCTAAGGGCAAGAGAAAATGGCAGACATAAATTACCCTTGTCCACCATTTTCTTCTAGTTGAAATTCTGTAATGGTGTGGTTGCTCGGCTAAGATGTTTTTGTCACAGATATGAACGATGTGTTTTGACTGCAATCTAATCACTGGTCTGCTAGTTGTTGTGAGAATGTTCCACTGTGGATGGTTATAGGTTTAGGGTATGTTTGGTTAATAGCCCTAGGGGGTGTCTCATAACTTAAGGAATCAACTTCTTATTTCATTTAACTTTAGAATTGGTCCCTAATAATGTTTTTGCTTGGGAAAAAGCTTGCTGGTGTTTTATTCAGCCCCTTCTACAAAGCTAGATTTTCTGTAAAATATGTAAATTAAATACACACAAAAAATGCAGAAGTTGGTCGGGGCACTTATTGGTGCTTAATACAGTGAATACAATGTGAAGAAAAAACTGATCATTTTTGTTTTATGAATAAATGCAATGTGTACGTATGTGACTAGTCCTGTTAGTTTGTTTGGTGGAGAGAGAGGTAAGAGGTGACAGAAGATGGGTATGTATGTGACTGGTCCTTGTAGTTTTGTGGGGAGACAGAAGATGGGTATGTACGTGACTGGTCCTTGCAGTTTGGTGGAAAGACAGAAGATGGGTATGTCGTGACTGGTCCTTGTAGTTTGGTGGAAAGACAGAAGATGGGTATGTACGTGACTGGTCCTTGTAGTTTGGTGGGGAGACAGAAGATGGGTATGTATGTGACTGGTCCTTGTAGTTTGGTGGAGAGGGAGGTATGAGATGACAGAAGATGGGTATGTACGTGACTGGTCCTTGTAGTTTGGTGGGGAGACAGAAGATGGGTATGTACGTGACTGGTCCTTGTAGTTTGGTGGGGAGACAGAAGATGGGTATGTACGTGACTGGTCCTTGTAGTTTGGTGGGGAGACAGAAGATGGGTATGTACGTGACTGGTACTTGTAGTTTGGTGGGGAGACAGAAGATGGGTATGTACGTGACTGGTCCTTGTAGTTTGGTGGGGAGACAGAAGATGGGTATGTACGTGACTGGTCCTTGTAGTTTGGTGGGGAGACAGAAGATGGGTATGTACGTGACTGGTCCTTGTAGTTTGGTGGGGAGACAGAAGATGGGTATGTACGTTACTGGTCCTTGTAGTTTGGTGGGGAGACAGAACATGGGTATGTACGTGACTGGTCCTTGTAGTTTGGTGGGGAGACAGAAGATGGGTATGTACGTTACTGGTCCTTGTAGTTTGGTGGGGAGACAGAAGATGGGTATGTACGTGACTGGTCCTGGTAGTTTTGTGTTAAGGGAGGAATGAGATGACAGAAGATGGGTATGTATGTGACTGGTCCTTGTAGTTTGGTTGAGAGGGAGGTATGAGATGACAGAAGATGTGTACGTATGTGACTGGTCCTGGTAGTTTTGTGGTAAGGGAGGAATGAGATGACAGAAGATGTGTATGTATGTGACTGGTCCTTGTAGTTTGGTTGAGAGGGAGGTATGAGATGACAGAAGATGTGTACGTACGTGACTGGTCCTGGTAGTTTTGTGGTAAGGGAGGAATGAGATGACAGAAGATGGGTATGTATGTGACTGGTCCTTGTAGTTTGGTTGAGAGGGAGGTATGAGATGACAGAAGATGTGTACGTACGTGACTGGTCCTTGTAGTTTGGTTGAGAGGGAGGAATGAGATGACAGAAGATGAGTACGTACGTGACTGGTCCTTGTAGTTTGGTGGAGAGGGAGGTATGAGATGACAGAAGATGTGTACGTACGTGACTGGTCCTTGTAGTTTGGTGGAGAGGGAGGTATGAGATGACAGAAGATGTGTACGTACGTGACTGGTCCTTGTAGTTTGGTGGAGAGGGAGGAATGAGATGACAGAAGATGTGTACGTACGTGACTGGTCCTTGTAGTTTGGTGGAGAGGGAGGAATGAGATGACAGAAGATGTGTACGTACGTGACTGGTCCTTGTAGTTTGGTGGAGAGGGAGGTATGAGATGACAGAAGATGTGTACGTACGTGACTGGTCCTTGTAGTTTGGTGGAGAGGGAGGTATGAGATGACAGAAGATGTGTACGTACGTGACTGGTCCTTGTAGTTTGGTGGAGAGGGAGGTATGAGATGACAGAAGATGTGTACGTACGTGACTGGTCCTTGTAGTTTGGTGGAGAGGGAGGAATGAGATGACAGAAGATGTGTACGTACGTGACTGGTCCTTGTAGTTTGGTGGAGAGGGAGGTATGAGATGACAGAAGATGTGTATGTACGTGACTGGTCCTTGTAGTTTGGTGAAGAGGGAGGAATGAGATGACAGAAGATGTGTACGTACGTGACTGGTCCTTGTAGTTTGGTGGAGAGGGAGGAATGAGATGACAGAAAAGATGTGTACGTACGTGACTGGTCCTTGTAGTTTGGTGGAGAGGGAGGAATGAGATGACAGAAGATGTGTACGTACGTGACTGGTCCTTGTAGTTTGGTGGAGAGGGAGGTATGAGATGACAGAAGATGTGTCCAGACACCATGTTCCACACAATCACCTCCCCATCATAGCTGGCCGTCGCCAGCAGGTTCGGGGGACATTGAGCCACGGTCAGGATGTCCTCCTTGTGCCCGTTTTTCTGGGGAACAGATTTCACAGTTATAATACACTTGATCAGGGTTAGAAATTACATGTTATTTTCACCAGTCCACAAAAACTATCTGTGACAGAGGTTCCATAATGCAATAATATTAAACTAAGCATTAAAAAAAAGCCTCTTTCTTCGTATTGGTCCTGTTATGAGTGGAACACAGGTCACCAAAGTCATAACATTAGTCATAAACATAACAGCATGAATTGAAAAAATGATAAATTACTGACAATTGCTGCCAACTTAGAGCTGAATATTTGCCACTAGTCAGGTCTAGCCCCTGGCAACAGAGTGAGTGTATATATGTTGTCTACTGCTGTAGTCAGGAGCCTGAGATCAGCTACCTACCAGGTCATCATTCCAGTATTCTAGAGGGTGTTGTACGTGGTGGATGTTGCTGTCGGACAAGGAGTCGTAGTAGATGTTGATGCGGCGGTCCCAGCCAACAGAAACTACATATCTGGAACACAAAGTTACTTGTGTATTACATCACTGTTACTGGGGAAAAGGGGATACAAGGGTTAACATTCTTTTTCCCCTTCTTTTAGCAATATTCAAACCATTCCAAGATACGGGACATCCACAATTGGCCATCAAACATTATTCATGTTGGGAATCGAACCTGTATCTTTGGTGTGACAAGTAAACACTTTACCACTAGGCTAGCCTTCTGACGTACCCATGCTAGGCAAGATGATCTCATGATCTATTTTTGTAGCTACTATTTCTAAGGATCAGGAACAACATATTTGTTTTCAGATTTGATTCAATCAAATCCATACATGAGGGAGTAACATGTCAGTATTCAATGCCATACACATATTAGTTTCTTTCACATACCGGTAAGCTGAAGTTGACACTGAACACCACGGTACACGAATAGACACATACCTATTTTTATTCATCTCTACATATGTGACATCACAAATTTCTTCATTTTCTTCCTCTGAAATTGAGAAGAGAGAAAGATATAAATGAGGACAGAAAATATCCAACATATACAATTATTTTACAGCTACATATAAAGGTACACAAGTCAACAAAAAAGATGAAACTATGAGTACATCAAGGGAGATAACTGCAGGCTAATCCACTTTTTGCAAAATTAATTTATCTCATTTATTAAAACCATAATATTAATTATTTTAGTATCACAAAATTGTACAATAAAAAAAATTCTGAGTCCAATGATTACGAATCAGTTTTGCAAACGTGTCATGGAAGCTCAATGAGAAGGAAAATGCGGGTTCAAGGGGAGGTAACTCTGATCGATGTGCTGGTTGAGAGCCATGTTTTGGTTCTTGTAATGGGATCAATGGGAAATTATTACCAAATTGCTGAAACAATAAATCAAGCTGTATGCTGTCTTGTAAACAATTGTCTTCTAAAGATACCATTTCATTCCATGAAATAACAAAATAACAACATGAATATCTCACCCTTTTCCAGCACTCTTAGACAATGCCCATTGTTGTAGTTCCAGATTCTCAGAATTCCATCTCGGCCACCAGTGATCAACCTGCAACCAGAAGGAAGTCAGAATGAGGCCATTTAATTATATGTATACGTCATATTAATCTTGTTTCTTTCCCAGTAAATCCTAAACTAATGTCTCTTCTTGACTTAAAATAAAATACCTTTTCTTTATGAATAACTAATATTATTAACAACTGTTGACTTCTTAGAAATCACTTTTCAGCGAATATCTTCATAAGATATGAATTTTAAATAAAATCAACTACTGATTTCAAACCTCACACATAATTATTATCTATATATGAAGTATCAATATGAGAAGACCCTTGTTTACCTTCTTCCTGTGTTGTCAAATGACATGGTGGTGATTGCAGAGTCGCCATGTGCATCTCCGTACTCAAATATAGGAGTCCCAGTCTCAAAATCCCACAGCTTGATTACCTGCAATGTCCATGCAACTGATATTACCAATCAATTAAGTTTACATCTTCACACATTGATAATGAACCAAGACTATGATTAAATCTTCATCGGCTAACTCATTGTGTTATTTTATTTATTTCCACCCTTTTCCCATAACAGAGAGTGAGTGAGTGGACGTTGTGTACGTAGCTGTCAGTGCTATTATAGCTACACCAGGGTTGACAGACAAACCCGTAGCTAATAGTATAAACACAGATCAGGGTATATTTCCTCCGCCAGTGTCTATAATATTCCCCACCCACCCCCAGTCCACAGCAACCTACGTTTGTCATGCCGTGCGACCATATGGACAAGGTGGTGTCAGTGTTTGAAATAAAACAAATTGCCAGGCTGCTATCAGGGCCCTCAGACTTAAGGAGCTGTAGGCCCCGACTAAACTCTTCAGGCCCTCATTTATAAAACTGCAAATTATTGAGACAAATAAATTGAGAGGAATATTTATCACAGGGCACAAGGATCTACACAAATTTGAAACTACAGGCCTGACACGAGATCTACCTGCCACAGGCCTGTGGCTACACAAATGTGAAACTACAGGCCTGACACGAGATCTACCTGCCACAGGCCTATGGGCAGGCGCTTATTTCAGACACTGGGTGGTGACATGGTTGATATTGTGTCATCCTACCCTTACATTGCTCATAATATCAATCACTGGTTAGTATGGTCCACACATGATTATGTACAGGCCATTGCCACATAGCTCAAATATTACTCTGCACATCATTAACAACAAACAAAACTTGAATGTATGAATGAATGCTTTTTTACTACAGTCAACACTCTCAGTCTGTATCCCAGCAGTCAGTGAAGTTATTATGGTTGATACAGTAAATTACGGTTATAACGAACTGACCGATATAACGATCTTACTTGTTACCCCCGGCCATGTGTTGCATATATGCTGTATATATGCTTGTAACGAACTACGGTTATTGCGGACTAAAACGGGTGGTCCCTTTGAGTTTGTTATAACCGTAGTTTACTGTATATTCATTTATAAGAATTGACTTCAACATGTTTTTGTGTCTATGGTGTTATTAACATAAATACCAGTGTGCACACTTTGCAAGAATCCACGTCACATATGTACACACTGTGAACACCGGTTTTCACGTCTATACCTTCATAAAGGCAAAATAAATCAAAGTCAATTTTTCAAAAACGTTTTCAGTGGGTTTTTTTTTTATGCACTCACCGACCCATCTGAACAGGTAACAACTTGTTTAAAGCTAGGATTGTATTTACAGCAGGTGACTGGTTCTTTGTGGGTTATTACGATGTCAGCATGAAGCACAGGCCTGTAATAAAGAATGGATCTCATCATCACAACAAACACCTACACCTCAATTGGTTTTCTTATGCTTAGTGGAATATATCTTGTCATTGTACATAATTTTCAACATACATGTATATGAATTATAACAAAACTTTATTGTGGATTGAAAAGATAGGAGAATATTGGACACAGTACAGCACTCTTTAATATATAATGGCAGGACACTGAACTTTTGTGATCTTTAATTATGACCTTCAAATTGTAGTCATTTCAAAATTTATTAATTACAAAATTGTATTGTTATGAAGTGCTCGAAACTGTGACATCACAGAGACTAGCACTTTTGCTGTTGCCTCATCTTTTGAACACTGAATTATCATTCACAGTTGACTCATTTAAATCATTAAGATATAGTTATATTACGATTTAGACAGGATTATTAAACAGCTGTGACAGCCACTTTAAGACAACTCACTTCATCCTGAGACTGAGACAGGCCATCTGGTCGGTGGCGACAGCGATGGCTTTGGCTGTGTGAGAGTAGTGGACAGCCTGGAGGTCACCTCGGATCTTGTGACCCTTGGGTCTCACCGTCAACAGGCAGTTCTGATCCTGGATGTCCCAGATCTGACACACCAATAGTAATATCAGTATCCCATAGGGTTAGTGAGTATAGTTTACTCCACTTTTAGCAATATTCCAGCAAGTTCACAATTGGGGACACCACAAATAGGCATCACACATTGTACCCTTGTGGAGAATCAAACCTGGGCCACCAGCATGACGAGTCAATGCTTTAACCGCCAAGCTACCCTACCACCTCTCAGTATCCAAGAGTGTACACCATTAAATCACACCAACATAGGTTTGAAAAAAATAATTTGGTCTCAGGTTTAAAATTAATACACTGGACATGATTGGTATCCTGACTGGCTCGCCAAAAATGATTGGCTGCTCATTTGAAAGAATATGTTGTATGTCTTGAAGCAGTGATTGAAAAATAATAGCAAAAATTCCTTCATACACCTATCTGGAGACACACCTTTATACACCTATCTGTGGACAAGCTGAATATCCTGTTGTCTTCTTCAGCAATGAATAGGTAGAAGATGGGGGCATTATGGCCTCTCAGCATGGCTGTCGGTTTCCTGGAACACAAGTCATCATACAAAGGTATAAACCAGTATAAACACAGGTATAAACCAGTATAAACACAGGTATACACCAGTATAAACACAGGTATAAACCAGTATAAACACAGGTATAATATAGGATTCATAACTAAGAGCCCCTGGCAGGCAAAATGGGAAAAATCATTATTTCGTTCAAAACTGGAATTTTTAAAAGTTCCTATTTTTTTTGAAAATTCAGAGGTATTTTGAGATTGCATTTAATGCAATTATTACAAAGCATTAAAAACTGTACCAATTTATTGGTTTGATATAAGTGAATACAGGTAACCTCTACAAAGCCGTAAAATTAGTTATTAGTCATATATATTATTACATTGTAACATGAAGTGGGAAATGTTTAGTTCCAAATTGGGGAATTTTTATTGACATTTGCTGCAGACTTGGGGCCTGATATCGACCCCTGAGCAGGTCCAGATCAATGCGTGTAAAAATCTACAAGCCTGAGGAAAATCACACTGGCAAAGTACAAACAATTTTCTTAAATACCATAAGCAAAACATTTGTTTATCTTTGGTTTGAAATTGTTATATTGTTGTCATATTAAAAAGTCCATACCAATACATAGTTATTAATCTGAATAAGCTGTTCCAATAGATTTAAGTGAACAGTATTAATGTTATATCATGGCAGGTCAACCGAGTGTGGGAGACAGCCTTAAGTGATATGACTAAGGGACACAACTCTTCACGGCTTATGAGTTGCATCGCTTCTACATACTGAACTACCTGTGCCCTACTCACATCTAAGGAGTGAATGAATGTGTGAGTTTGGTTTAACCCCAATTTTAAAACATTTCAGTCATATCATGGCATGTCAGCTTCATGTGGGAGGAAAGCCTGAAATGATGTAGGTTTCTGCCAATGACAACATTGGTGAAACCCACAAGTAAGAGTATGATGCTGACTGCTGCACATCAAAGTACAGTGTGCACTAAACCAGTTGTGTCATGAGTGTGCCGAGATGCCAGGTTTGCCTTAGATGACTGGGCCATCCATGTCTGCTTTTAACATTTAAGGATACAGGTTCTTTGACATATTTTTTTAATACATGCAAGGAGATTTTTTCAAACTTACCCTGATACATATGGATTCCATAATCTGATAATTCTATCCATGCCTGCAAGAAATCAAGGTTGGTTATTAGTTCTTTTGTTTAACATTGTCTTTTTTCACACTGTAAATGAAGATAAAACAAATCTTGGAAAAGGGCAGCTTGATTCTGGTGCATTTGTTCACAAGCTTTTCACTGATATTTAAAACTACATCCTGAGAGACATCCATCTTGTATTACAGAAGAGAAATTATAATTTATTGGGTGTATAAAATACACATTGAAACACAAAATGCATATTTTCCCTTTACCTCTTCCCCAAATGAAAACGCGGGATCTAATATACCTTATTCGACGTAATAAGCGCCCAGGGCGCTCTCCAAATTAGAAATAGGGGGCTCTTATTAGAATATTATTTTGGTGGAAAAAACAGAGTTGAAAGATAAATTTCGTGGTTTATGCTGACAGCCTGAAATGTTTATGTACGACAGATATATTTTTCCAGAATTTAATTGCCCATAATTAAGGGTGCATATAACACACGAATGCGTATTATACGCGAATAAATAAGTCTTGTGTACATTGATCAATCGGAAGGGGTGTTAATTGGGATTGTTCACTAGCCAATATGTTAGCAATTATCGCCGTGGGCGCTTATTAGAGCGTGGCGCTTACTACGTCGAATACGGTAAGTATTGTATCAGGTAGGTCTGTGATGAGACAAAATTTACTACCCAGGTATCCAACCCCCTATTATCGACCTGTCACAAGTTGGGTACAAAATGTCCAATTGAGAATTGTTATACTGGAGCCCTGGCAGAAACTACCTTGTACACTCATAAACTAATCTCTCATGCATACTCCGATTTTGACAGAAGCTTTATCCTTACTCAAACATTTTAAAGTCAGAAGAAATGCATGCATATATATTCAGAAAGAAATGTGATTTGTTGTGTTACCATGGGCTTTCACTGATATTGTCACTAAGTAATATATCACGTGACTGACCATGGACTAGTACTGTGGGTACACGGGTCAAACTCAGGACCCACCCGACTAGAGTACCTGAGTTAACCGTCCCAGCCCTGGGCTATTTTGATGTTATTGGTATTGAACATGAAGGGATATCTATTCTTTGTGTTGCTCTTTCCAAAAGAAGCTAAATTCAATTCTCTGTAGACCAACATAACACTGTCAGTGTTAAACATACACTCACCCCCCGTAATCATGATATTTTTTGCCTTTGAGAAGTCGAAGCACTTGACACCCTTGTACACCCTGAAGATGGCCTGGTCAGCCTCCAGCCTGGTCTTAGTGTTGTTGTAGGCATAGAAGCCCTTGCCCTTGTTCCTGTCCTGGCCAGCACCGGGGTCCTTCACCTCCTTCAGCTGCTGCTCCACATGGGTGCTGCCAATAGTGCAACCTGTAAACACAGACAGAGAGACATACAGCCAATAGTACAACCTGTAGACACAGACAGAGAGATATACTGTCGATAGTGCAACCTGTAGACACAGACAGAGAGACATACTGCCGATAGTGCAACCAGTAGACACAGACAGAGAGACATACTGCCAATAGTGCAACCTGTAGACAGACAGAGAGACGTACTGCCAATAGTGCAACCTGTAGACACAGACAGAGAGACATACTGCCGATAGTGCAACCAGTAGACACAGACAGAGAGACATAATGCCGACAGTGCAACCTGTAGACATGGACAGAGAGACATACTGTCGATAGTGCAACCAGTAGATACAGACAGAGAGACATACTGCCGACAGTGCAACCTGTAGACACAGACAGAGAGACATACAGCCAATAGTGCAACCAGTAGACACAGACAGAGAGACATACTGTCGATAGTGCAACCTGTAGACATGGACAGAGAGACATACTGTCGATAGTGCAACCAGTAGACACAGACAGAGAGACATACTGTCGATAGTGCAACCTGTAGACATGGACAGAGAGACATACTGTCGATAGTGCAACCAGTAGACACAGACTGAGAGACATACTGCCAATAGTGCAACCTGTAGACACAGACAGAGAGACATACTGCCGATAGTGCAACCTGTAGACACAGACAGAGAGACATACTGCCAATAGTGCAACCTGTAGACACAGACAGAGACATACTGCCGATAGTGCAACCTGTAGACACCGAAAGAGAGACATACTGCCAATACTGCAACCTGTAGACACAGACAGAGACATACTGCCGACAGTGCAACTTGTAGACATGGACAGACAGACATACTGTCGATAGTGCAACCAGTAGACACAGACAGAGAGACATACTGCCGATAGTGCAACCTGTAGACACCGAAAGAGGGACATACTGCCAATACTGCAACCTGTAGACACAGACAGAGACATACTGCCGACAGTGCAACTTGTAGACATGGACAGACAGACATACTGTCGATAGTGCAACCAGAAGACACAGACATTCTATACTGCCAATAGAGCAACCAGCAGACACAGGCAGACAGCCATACTACTGACAGTGCAACCAGAAGACACAGACATTCTATACTGCCAATAGTGCAACCAGCAGACACAGACATCCGATACTGCCAATAGTGCAACCTGCAGACACAAACAGACATACATTCTACTAATTATGCACCCTGTAGGAGTGATTACTGCTAATAGTGTTACCAGTGAAGACACAAATACTGCTGATAGTCTTCAGGGTGCAGTATCAGCGGAATATGTCTGCAGGGTGCACTAATGAATGAGCAAATTGCGAATACAAATACTGATGATAGAGCACCCTGCAGACACAAATACTGCTGATAGAGCACCCTGCAGCCCATACCAGCTTCTCAGACACAAAGTAGTCTCTCAGATGTATTGAAACTATAGATGTCACAGAAACCACAAATTTAACTAGTTGTGCCTGCATGACAGTGTTTCAAGTTTGGCATTCAATTCATTTTGTATGTTTTGACCGACTGATCAAGCTCAGGCTAGCAATTAATATGTACCTGCAGAAAATCTGCATGTCAAATGTCTCTGTACAGAAGTTGAAATACAGTATACTTTGCCAAGATGAAAGTGAATACTTGATGTTTCATTCTAGCCTTTTTGTCTGATTACAACTTAAATTATTAAAACATTAGATGATTTACATTTGTTGTGAGAGAGCCAGCAGCAGAGAACAAAACAGTTTTGATAATAGCTACGAGGAACGTATATGCCCCTTATACAATGCTGAGTTTCTGCGTAAATATTTGTCACATACTCAAGAAAAGAGTGAGTGAGTGAGTTGGGTTTAACGCTGCTTTTAACAGTATTCCAGTTATGTCACGGCGTGTCAGCTTGATGTGGGAGGAAAGCCAGAAGTGATAAAGGTCTCAGACGATTACCACTTCGGTGAAACCCACGAACATGGGTATGGTGCTGACAAACCTAGAAACATAATCGGGGCGAACTGGGATTCGAACCCACAATCATAGGTTTCTGGTGTGCCCAAGGGACGCAACTCTGCACAGCGAATTGCGTCGCATGAGACGACTGGGCCAACCGTGCCCCCAACAAGAAAAGAAGACTGTCATTTCAGGCTTACTACAGGATGCTTATAAAGGTTGCTTACAGATTGTTCTAATAGTAGGTCAGAGGGCACTTACAAGAGCCGAATACAGCAAATACCAAATATCAAATTAGAAAACCTACTCCAACCTTGCATTTACCTGATGGAAATTTTTCATTAACTTCTTTACATATGAATTACCTCCCATTCCAACATCACCTCAGTGAGTTCCCAATCATTATTTATTTAACACTGAATAAATCTTTACCTTTCACTAACTCATACATGTTAACAATCTCAATGCATCAGATATGTGTGCTGTAGTGAGCAGTGGATGTATGACCCAACCACTCAGGTACTACTTACCTATGACTAATGCTGTGTTTGCATGGTTGGAACATGAGATCACCTGACCAATGTCATGATAGTACTTCAGCTGGAGAAGAAAGGAAGTTCATGACATATGTGATAACTGCTTCATTTAAGTATAACTTAATAATAGTACTAATACACTCCTCAAAAATAAATTAAGCAACAGAAATTGTACCTAATGTGCAAGTTAAAACTTTCATGTGGTTCATGCGAGGACAGATAAACAATTTCAGAGATTTATTCAGACTTGCTCAAAGGCCAATATTCAATCCCAAGCCTGCAGGTTATGTCAGTAAATATTTCCAAATTGGAATGCAAAAATCTTAATTCATATTATAACTGTTATGACTTTGCATTGACAACAGGACCAATAAAGCAAGAAACTTTAATGCTTTGTTTTACATTGTTGTAGTGAACATGTTGAATGCAATGCTAAAATACAACGTTAAAATACCTCTGAATTAAAGAAAAAAAACTCAAACAGATCCCTATTTTGAACAAAATATAAATAATTTCCTAACAAGCCTGCCACTGGCACCTAGTTCTGAATCCTTGATAAATCCTTGTATTGTATTCCAGCCCAAAGTATCTTGTATGGCCATCTGACAATGGCTGGCTGTTGTGAGATCAGTGTGACAGTTTGCATTGTTTGCATTGTACTCTGGTACTAAAGTATCTCGTAGCTCACCTGAATATGTCGTTAACAATTCAAAAACATTACAGCCACGGAACAAAAGTTTCTGTCAGCATTTATATATCTAAAATATTTTCTGCATTAATACAAAAAAATAACACTTACTTCTAAAAAGTGAACAACAAAGGATATCATAAGGAGAGTCTGTCAATTTCAAAGGAGAAGATGTTTACAAAAGGCATATGCACCTTGAGAATTTTAGATGAATGTCAAAGCAAGGTCAAAATTTAAAATATTGACAAAAAACAAAACTTATGTTGAAGCCAATAACTAGCTAAATGTATACCGAATTTCATCAGATTTTGTACAAAAATGGCCAAGCAATGGCCCATAAATGTTTTTTTCAATAAGCCTACCATGGAATTTGTTATTAAATAAAAAGAAACAACAATATCGGTTTTGAAACATTTACAGCAATAAACACGATTGTCACTGACCCACTTTTACAAATATGGAAACATCATAGGACAAACCATATAACGTCACTATTGAACGTGACGTCTCCTATCCGTATCCTATGACGTCACCTAACAACGGGCGTGATATTGGCCCGTCGTAAAGCAATATGAGGGCATTATCAAGTTTAAGTGGCCTGCTCATTTCTGATAACATGCAGGCGGTTTAATGATAATTCTATCCATTTTAGCTATAATCACACATACAGAAGGTGCTCATCAGCTCACCTGCTGCACCCAGTCTCCATGAACCTGCCATCTGATGAACTGGACATTGGGGCCACTCGCCACAGAGTCTAGGCTGATGCTGGCAATGAAGCCATCATGTCGTGGCATCTTCTTCCATGTCCTGGGGTGGGGGGACAGACAGACATGCATGTAATATCACACAGCAGTTAGTCAGTGGAAGTGAGAAATATGACCTGCCTAACATGGGCGATATAAACTACTGTTTCCTGATTGGCTGAAAACAGAGTGGGCAGGGTGTGTGTTACATAGTTCCACTGATTGATCTCAACGATTTTGTTTCATATACAGTTATTTTATGCTGATGATTAAGAAAGCAGTCTGTGAAGTTATTACTGACTTATTACTAATAAATATTGACTTTAATATTATTTTGCATTTATGGAGGTATAAAAGTAATCACCCATAAGCACACTTTTGGGGAATAAACTACACTACTCACACTTACAGTGTACACACTGGTTTTTACGTTAACACACTCATAAAATCAAAAGTCACCATCAATTCTGAGGCTGAAAACAGTAATAGTCTTGGTTCTCAAGCACCGCCTGCATTATCATAAAGTCTGACGCACGTTTCGTTTTGATTTGCATTTCTAAAAAAATTTAAAATCTTAAAATACTTAAAAACTATGCTATCTAGCACGCAATTTCTTCCCTTTCCATGTGCACTGCTTTACTGCACATTATGGTCATGGCTGCAATAGGAGTTTGTCTCCTTGTTTATGTATGGAGCCTCTTTCCCAGATTGATGGTACACAACTGTTTAGTTGGTTACATACTAGTTTCAACAAGCAAAAAAATAGAAACCACCACCTGCCCCCACTATATTTTCAAAAGTCATTGCCTGAGAACCAATTCCTTTAATGCTTTTAGCCTAAAATAACATGAGCTCTAGATCAAGGATAGATTTCTACCTAATTGCCAAACTTATTCCTAGAAACTTAAAAGATTCAGAATTCTATACAGTCACCTCTTGATAAAACAAATTCCAAATCTGAAAATTTGGTTTATTGAATCTTATCAGCTAGTTTGTTATTCAGCATAGCAGTGTAAAATACCAATAAAGGTGGATCAGAAAATAGGTATGTTATAGATGAGACTATATTCAGCTGTGTCATATCCTGCTTAAGCTTAGGAGATAACTGGATGTAGTCAAGCCTTGTTGAGGAGTAGAACTGGGTTTCTACTATGCTTTCAATCATTCAATCCAACATATCATATATAGTCAGAGTTGACTGTATTGTAACTCTGGGGAAATGTGAGGGGTCCTTACCTGAGACATTCACCAGCTGATTTGATGACCAGAATGTTGACACACCCCTGACTGTCTCCATACAGGATGAGACACTCATCGTACCCTGTAGAGCTGTACACAAAGAAATCAATCATGAAACAATAAGGGACTGGTCATTTATAATAGGGGTGGTGGGGCAGAGGGATTTGGGGGAGGGTCATGAAAAGAATCTATTTTTTTAAATAATATTAACCATTTTGTCTTTTAGGGTAGTGTCATGAAACAAATGTACAATAATATTGGGTTATCCAAAAATATGTAAAGCATTAGGGGAGGGTCATTATTTAAGTACATTAGTGCATCAAAAATCTCTGACCCACCCACCCCTGTAATACTTGATCGGACTCTAACATGTGCCTTTACTGTAGATGGAGAATAGTAAATTATGCTGATAAATCAACTTGAAATAAAACAACCTTGACCATGGTTACTATTGCTTATATAATTTACATACAGATCACATGAACATAAATACAACACAGCAAAATGTGCAGGTAAAAAGCACTCACCTGTAATCTAACTTTAATGGCACTGTTTCTAGACCACTGACTTGGCAGTAGGGCTCGAATGATGACAATTCAAAGAACTGGATTTCTCGGTCACTAGAACAAAATATAAAGTTTTGCATTTTCAACAAGTATTAATCAATCTACTGAAGTAGAGTAACAAAAGAACACTATCCTATCATGAAGATATCATATTATTTGTACATTACAAGGTCCATCATATCCCAAATCATTGCACAAATAATGTTTTCATTTCCCAAACATTATTTAATCAATTAATTAATCTCCTGCAGTAAAGTAATGAAACAAACATAACACTGTGAAGTCGTGAGCATATTTTATTATTTGTACATAACTAGTTCCCTTATTAATCACTGATATCAGTCAAATTTGACTTTTGCCATGTTTATTGGCAGGCACCAATCAAAGTAGATAACTTTACACAGAAGAAGTGTCATGACTACTAACCCTGTTCCGACAATGAATTTGTTGAAATGGGGCATGATGACAAAATCTGTTATCCATTTTGGCTTCTGTCGGTTGTTCTGTTCCGAGTTCTTGCAAATAAAAAAGAAATATACATTATGAGGGGTTATATATTTAAGGGCAGATACATCTGTGCTTAAAAGAAATGAGATATATCTCTCGTGCTTAAAAGAAATTACATATTTACATCTTGAAGGAGAATATTGATAGAATTATTTGTGAATTATGTTTATTCACTCAAAAATTCCATTTTAAATCATCTCAGACTAAAATAAATTTATAAGATTCCTTTTTGTTTGTGTATATAACAACAAATATTTAGTATGGAGAAAAATGACAAAAAGTACTTATGATGTCAAGCTTTCTGGGAAATTAGAGTGAATTCTTCTTGGTATATTTGGGGCAAAATAGAAGCGAGATTTGTTTCATGAAAGAAGGTGGATGATATGGCAAACAATTAGTACATTCAATGTGGACTAATCAGCAGGAGGATGTTCTCATCGTACCAAGTGATGGCTGCATAGAACTATCACTCTCACTCACCACAACACTTCTTGTTCTTCGAATGTCGGCATTTGTGTTCCAGAAGGAGACAATACCATCCTGAAAATGCAAAAAGACATCTCAATCTGCACTGTAGGGCTTGGACGGATAACTCGGGTACCCGGGTCGGGTGGGTACTGAGTAGGACCTGGGTACCCATAGGACTACCCGGACCTGTGGTTAGTCACATGATATATTGTGTAATGACAAAAATTATCTAGAACTATATGGTTCGACTACAAGTCACTAATGTTCGCATTAATTTCTGACCAAGCACCCATTCCTTCTGACTTTTAATATGGTTGAATAAAGATATAACTTAAGTCAACTTCAGTGTATGCATGACCAGATCGTTTAATACATGTATCTAAATACGTTTTGCAAGTGCTATAGTAAAACAAATTCCCAATCGGACATTTTGTATCTCTTGAGACCTACAGTGGGTACCCGGGTAGTAAATTCGGACTCGTCCCAGCCCTACTGCACAGTAACCATGGTAACAATTTTATGAAAAATAATATTTGTTGCAGCTACCCATTACTTGATAGTAAATTCGGACTCGTCCCAGCCCTACTGCACAGTAACCATGGTAACAATTTTATGAAAAATAATATTTGTTGCAGCTACCCATTACTTGATACAGTGTAAAGTATGCAAGGTCACAATTCTTGAAGGCAAACAAGACACACAGTACATGAGGAACCAGTTCACTTGCACTTGCAGCAGATTAATTTACAGTTCATATCAAACAAAGCAGAAGATATCATCCAAAATCTGAGTTCTCTACATGCAAATAATGCATACAAGTTCTTTAACAAGTTTCTTTATGACCTTGAAATATTTCATTGACCTTTCACAAATGTTTCATGATTTGCCATACAAACAATTTTTACTTTTGCTTGAATGTTGTCATGATGTCAAAACTGTTGGAAGTCCTGGTCATTGCTAATAAGAGGAATCTGTTAACTTCATTATTGATAATTTTGACTTTTATTTAAATGTTGTCAAACTTACTAACTAATAATAAAAAAAAACGTCCCTGGTAATTAATACAAAAATAATCCTGACATCACCTTACCTGAATACAAGGAACAGAAATTCCATCTGAGGTATGTGTTAACTTAATCTGCTAACTTACGTATAAACTATTTCAATTTGTACTTAAAACGTGTCTTGAATATTGTGAGTGAGTGAGTATGGTTTTTCGCCGATTTTAGCAATATTCCAGCAATATCACGGCAGGGGACACCAGAAATGGTCTTCAAACATCGAACCCGGGTCTTCGGTGTGACATCAAATGCTTTAACCACTAGGCTACCCCACTGCCCCTGTAATGAATCATAAACAAAGAGCCAAGGGCCATGTTCCACAAGCGATCTAGCACTACGACTGTCATAAGTAAGTGTTCAAAGAATGGAAGTTACGATCGACTAAGTGCTAAGATTGCTTTGTGGAAAGAGGCACTGGTAATTAATAAAGAAATACATCTCTTACCTGACTGCACGCTACAAAAGTTCCATCTGAGGTATCTGTTATCTTCAAGATGGGGTCTCGATGGGGAATGTTTTCAATCTTGGCAGGGAGGTGGAAGGACACCTCTTTGGTTCGGTGGTAGGAGTCTTCCTTCTCCGCATACTCCAACTGCATGTACGTACAGAACTCATCCCACGTGATCGAACCCTCCGATGACCAGTCGATCTTCATAAACAGTGCATCTATTTGTTGTTCCTGAATAGGCAATACATAGATATTGATATACCATGTCTTTTGTTTTGTTGTTGTAAAATGCAGAACTCAGCAATATGCCAGTTATTGGATCACGGCTTGTGAATAATTGAGGCTGGACTGAACGAAGCAGTGATTGATATAATGAGCAACTATCCACTCTGTCAGGGTTCGATTACATGCAAAACTCAACCAAGTCACTAGGGATATATAATGAGTTACATTTTTTAGTCATGTTCATAAGAGGGTTGAAAAGGATTTTACCAGCTAAATGAACTTACATCACAAATTGCTATTGACATGGAACAAACAGATCATTAAGAGTTGGCAAGTTACAAATCTTAATGCTGGAATGTGTCCTGTGTACAGCACACAGGTCACAAAGCAGGCAAAGTTAAGCAACAGTGGTCACAGAGAATGGTTTGATGGGTGACCTTCTGCAGCAGCTTGGCTGCTGAGAGTTTCTAGGGTTTCAGTCCTGGCCCACACTGAAGCACATGTGGCACATGTGGTGTCTCCTTGGGCAAGTGAAATCATTTGAAATATGCCCTGTTCAGCCAGCAGTGAATGGGTACCCAAAAGGTTTTGGTTTGGTTTGTTGTTTAACGCCGCACTCATCAATATTCCAGCAATATGATGGCAGTCTGTAAATAATCGAGTCTGGACCAGACAATCCAGTGATTGATATCATGAGCATCGATCCACGCTTTTGGGATCGATGACATGTATCAGCCAAGTCAGCAACCCTGACCACCCGATCGGGTACCCATTAGGATGAGATGATTATGTGACTGTTAACTTTCTAGCGCCTCATACATCCTAGGGAGCTGATGTGACAGATTTTGCATGGTAATTCAGATGGCAAACATGTTCCATTTGAGACACGACAAGTAAGTATGTGAAGTCCCATCAATCAGCATGATGTCGTCTAGACACAGCTACTCTAAATATTCATTTTATACAGTAGCAATATAAATGTGAAACAAAGATTGAACATGTAGCTTGTCTTGTACAAGATTGATAACATCAGTGTAATTAATCACTCTGCTCTCTTGAAATTTATGAAAACATATTTCAAGTAAGTTCAATAACATGCTAAAGACATGCAGTTCCAGCTGTCATTGATCATGCTGAAGAAGTTAATTAATTGCATGCCTAGCATATTGGTGAATGATTATCTATTAATGCCAATGCATAGTCAATACCCAAACCAATATGGCTTGATTAACTACACCATGTAATGTCAACCAGCATTCTCTGATAGATATGGAATAACTTCTTTGAGAGGCTGATTTAGAAGTTGGAGTACTAAGTAAGGATAAGATCTATGGATGAATACAATTAGGAGTGACATTTCAGTGTAGGTTCTAACACCGTTATCAAGCAAGTGATGTACAGAGTATGGTTTGACAAGTATATACACAGGTAGGAGGCAGTGTTTATACAGTACACGATACATTTTCTTTTTGTAGCGATACGAGACGATACACTTCCTAAAAAAAATTATTTACTACTACAAAAGCTGCTACTAACATGTGTCTACAGATAGCTTTTCCCTTTTACACCTGCTCTACAATATTAATATTTGCGTATCACGATATGTATCGTGACCTATGTAACGTTATATGTATCGTATCGTGACCTTGCTGTGTCATTTCACCACTATTACAATTCATATTCAACTTCTACCAACATTCAAAGTAAGGCTCTATTCTAAAATACAGGAGGGTGAGTGAGTGAGTGAGTGAGTGAGTGAGTGAGTGAGTGAGTGAGTGAGTGAGTGAGTGAGTGAGTGAGTGAGTGAGTTGGGTTTAACACCACTTTGAACAGTATTCCAGATATATCGCGGTGTGTCAGCTAAATGTGTGAGGAAAACCTGAAGTGATGCAGGTCTTAGACGTTTACCACTCTGTGAAAAAAAGACAGGAGATATGACCAGAATACGCACCCTGTTTGCTGTGAGCGCCAACTGACTTTTCAGTAGTTCCTTGAACTCGTCCAGCTCTAGACATCCTGTTCGGTTCACATCAGCCAGCTGAAACGCCCTCTTCAATTCTTCAAGTGTGTCAATGTTAATCTTTTCTTCTATCTAAAATGAAAAACAATCACAATTACAATAATATCTATATGATAAATATGTTACCAAATCATAAATATTTGTTGGATCATATTTTTAGTGAGAATTTGTTCATTGTTGAATATGTTGAAAGGACAAATTCCTCCTTAAATAAAATAGTCCTTTTCCCGGTCTGCAACATCTCCTGCAACTGTAACTGTTGCTAATCACATGATGCAGGACATGCTTTCCTTGTAACATGGCCTCAATAAGGTAGCATAGACATCACAACCCATCTACTCACTGTTTGACACTAATTCTCTGTCAGTAACCAACTGATAATTGATGGACGTAGATTTTTCACCATGATATTCTCGACGATGAGTTTGACAGTAGCCATTTTGTCCTTTGGTGTGGCCTGTCATGTGATCACCAAACGAAGTCGAAAATGCAGTATTAGTAGAGGACAATGTGACTGTTGCTCATGCCTCATTCAGAAATATGCTAGCTATATGACAGTGGTCTGCAAATAAAAGAGTGTGGACCAGACAATCCACTGATTGACATCATTACCATCGATCTATGCAATTGGGATATGATGACATTCATCAACCAAGTCAGCGAGCCTGACCACCCAATCTCGTTAATCGCCTCTTACAACAAACATAGCCGCCTTTTACGCCAAGCATGGGTTGTTGAAGACCTATTCTATAGCCAAATGTTTTATGCGGCGCAATGTTTTAGGCAGCAAGAAAGGACAATGTGACTGATTTTAAGGTCTTCAATGTTTCTGATGCTCAATGGCTGGGAAATGGTGTCTTGTTGTGACATAAGGTTAGTATAACATCAAAGGATATTTCTTAAAGAACATTGTTGTAATGTAATTCATTTTGTATTGAGTCAATCCTTCAAAGTAGCACAATGGTCTCTTTAGCCAGTTCATTGAAGAAGATGAAAGTTGATTTAAAGCATAATATATTTCCTGTCCTTGTCTGTAAGGAACATTTCATTACCAGGATTGTCTTCTCATTACATGACAATCCATATTTTCTTTCACAGATTTTTTTACAGAAAACAGCAGTGTTATAGGGGCATATTTTTGATAAACTATGATAAAAAACGTCTTAGGTTCAGCGATGTTTGAAGTGAAATGTTTGCTCACTCGTGCTCGATCTCTGAATATGTTTTTAACTGCTTGTGTGTGGCCTTAATAAGCATCACACTTTGTCAATTTCCTGAGTTTCAGGGCACTTCATACGGAATATATTGTAATGAAATCGCTTTGTCAAGTCTTACCAGTGTACATATGTTAATGGTTGAAGGTAATATAGAGATAAATCCACACTAACACTACAGTCCACCAACACATCACCAACACAGGTAATTGCCAATCCTTGATTGCTGATAATGATAATCATCGGTAAAACCATTACAGAAAACTTGAGACATAGGACAGCTGAAGGGTCAGGTTACCTGCAGGTACCCAATTACAGGCCTGGCTACACAAGATAACCACCAGGTAATCAGCCTGGAATAATCACTTGGAAACAAGGTAGAATAATACTCAAACTCCAGTGCTTTTCAATGCAAAACTGTCTCATAAAGATTCAAGCAAACAATAAACTTTAAAAAAACCTGCAACCACAATTGTTATTTGCTGTGTAATATTCTTAAAACATACCATATATATCACTCATTAGTTGATAGGGATATTCTGAGTGCAGGACCTCAATGTGTGTGATTGGCTGCTTGGAGACCAAGAAGATGGTGTCATACAAATAGTATCCCAAATTGCCATGCGAATGGAGCATGTTGAGCTTCATTTAAAGTTAACAAGAGTTTGCCACTAACTAACTAACTTTGTTGAGCGGGGGATAATAAAAGTAAGTACACAATCTGAGTACACCAACTGCTGTCCTTATGTAAGAGTATGAAACATCCCAGTATCGCTGTCAAATGTTGAGTAGTACGGGTATATTAAGAAAAAAAGAATAAAATCTAACTAATAACATATGAAAACTTACAATGTAAAATTTTTACAAGGACTCGAACATACTAAAGCAAATGACAAGGCTATATTTGTCAACAGAATTTAACTCCTGGGGATTAAAAAATCTGTTGACTCTTTCTCAAGTCTCAGCTCATGATACCGTATTCGACGTAATAAGCGCCCAGGGCGCTCTCAAAATAAGAAATAGGGGGCTCTTATTAGAATGTTAATTTGGTGAAAAAAACAGAGTTGAAAGATAAATTTCGTGGTTTATGCCGACAGCCTGAAATGTTTATGTACGACAGATATATTTTTCCAGAATTAAATGCCCATAATTAAGGGTGCATAAAACATACGAGTGCATATTATACAGGAATAAATAAGTCTTGTGTACATTGATCACTCGGAAGGGGATCTGATTGGGATTGTTCATTAGCCGATATCTTAGCAAATGTCGCCGTGGGCGCTTATTAGAGCGGGGCACTTATTACATCGAATACGGTAATGTGTAGATTATTGTTTACCCTGTGTATGTTACAGTAGAACACGGATATTAGGAACTACAAGGGACACGAGAAATCAGTTCGTTATGTACGCTGTTCGTTATACAACAATGTATACATTTTCGTAAATGGAATATGATAATATAGAGGAGATATATCAGGGATTTCGTAACAGTTCGTTATATCCGTTTCTTCACTTCATCCATGTTATATCCATGTTCTACTTACCTTGTTTCTTAACCTCAGAATAAACTACTTTCCTCTTCAATAAGATTGCTTCCTTAATCCAGAATATTCCAAATACACATGATTCATTAACGTAATAAATGATGGTCCAGAACAAAGATTGAACAACAAGTATTTAAAATACACATCTATTTCCTATTTTGCTATTCAAGAAGGAATGTATTATGCCCATTGGTTGTCAGTACTGAAATAAATTGCTAATCATGCTAATGGTACAGTGTTTCTGTAAAACAGGAAAGGAACTTAAAAATTTCTAAAAGTACTTTGCATTCATGAGATCCAAGATTTTCTCAAGTGTATCAGTGGTGAATTTTGTGCATACTTGAAGACAGTTCACTTAATAAATGGGTATGTTCAAAACAGTACACACAGTATAATTACACATTAAGTAGTGACTGAGTGAGCTAAATTTAATGTCAGCCTTGTTTCAGCCATATATTGAGTGAGTGAGTGAGTATGTTTTTACTCCGCTTTTAGAAATATTCCCGCAATATCACGGCGGGGAACACCAGAAATAGGCTTCACACATTGTACCCATGTCAGGAATTGAACCCGGTTCTTCGGCATGACGAGCGAACGCTTTAACCACTAGGCTACCTCACCGCCCCCCTATATATTAAGTACAAATGATGCAACATGCATCTTGCTCTTCACTGTCAGACTTTTGGAATGACAATCAGTCGATGTCCAAGAAGACGAACTGATCTGAAACCCTGGGTTTTAGCCACAAGACCAAAGCCAAAGTCAAGTAAAATTCTAGTGAGCTCAGGTAAAATAGTCTACATAATAGCACTAAAGTCTACTGAAATAATGCCAAGATTCAAGTCAGGCTAGTAGATTCAAAATAAAATAGCACTAAAGTCTACTGAAATAATGCCAAGATTCAAGTCAGGCTAGTAGATTCAAAATAAAATAGCACTAAAGTCTACTGAAATAATGCCAAGATTCAAGTCAGGCTAGTAGATTCAAAATATAATAGCACTAAAGTCTACTGAAATAATGCCAAGATTCAAGTCAGGCTTGATTCAAAAGTTCTTGGCACAGACTCAGTCTTAAACATACATACAATACTGGCATACTGAACAATGAGATGTGTCTTGCAACAATGAGTTTAACCGCTAAGTATTTGACTAATTTCTTGTGCAAGGTGCCTGTATCATGTTCCAATCAAGTGTGATAATATCATGACGTGTAATACGATCAACATACAGTGGAGTCCTGAAGTCCTCGCCGGTACCGCGCAGAGAGGGCATTTCCAATTAACCGCAGACAACCGAGATCGGACTTCTCAGAATATAAAGATGCTGCTGATTCCATTATGAGATACTTTCACATCTGAGTAATTTCCAACCGTGTGATAACTCCAAATAATCTTCCTAAGTCAGTAAGTCATTTACATATCGACAACATACAACAAAACATGCATATTTTATCATTTAATTAGACAGTGTCATCTCTCGTGTGATAATTTTAATTATTCAGACACTGCAGTGAAAGATATCAAATGTCTTTGTTTCTTACACTTTCAAACATTGCCAGCGTTCTTGTCTTTTATTTATGTGTAGAACAATAAACATGATAAACAGGATAAAATAACAATCACAAAATAACCAGAAAACTTACAAGCGAGCATGACCAGAAACGATCAAAGCCCGTAGAACAAAATCAACCAGTCTAGCCTTACTGTATCTGGCAGGAAGTTGTTTTGGTCAGTCACTTGGTTTAGGTGAAAAAAAATGAATGCTCTAGTGTTTAAACAAGTTTGTAATATGTTTTACAGTAACATATATAGGTCTTTATTTCTGATGAAAAAGCTTTTGTCATCTTGATCAGAAATGTTCAGTGGTCAGAGAATACTTTAAATACATCAATATATCAATTATTATTAAAAGTTAATAGTTAATTATAATTTGTGTAGATCTAGTTTATATCTTTTTATTTTACTAATCCAGCAAACATGCCAAAGTTATAGCAGTAAAGGAAATAAAATTAAATTTAAACAATTTTTTTATGTATATTCTGTCTCCAGTTAGTCGAATCAATAAATCAAAAATAGTATCTGCTAAATCTACAGACTTTATTAAATCCACAGACCACGTATCAACAGTCCTGCTACCCACCTATCTTAGAAATAATAACAGCATGGCAGATACAAATATCAATAAAATTTGTTTACCTAAATATCAAAATCTGACAAGGTGCATGGTGAACTTGGGCCTCATTTCAACCAAGTTTATTACTTTCCTATCAAAACACTTCCCGATATAACATGTATGACGACCCTTGAAGATCCA